TATTATATTCCAATAACAAATTAGAGTAAAAACATAATGCAATAAACTGCCTTAGGTTCAGTTTACATGTTTTCATACAATGTGTTGGGTGTTGATTATTATATCTAAAAAATAAATAGCATCTGAATTTAGGTTAAAAGTCAAGGCTCTGTTGTTAACCTTTAATGTTATGTACGGCCATCCATATATGGTTTACAGCATTAGACTTTTTTTGTTTGTTTTTTTTGTTTAATGCTTGCAAAACTTTTAATTGTAATTTAATTAATTTAAAGACAAAGACACAATTTTTTCATTAAACCACTGTTTAAAAAAAATGTAAAAAAAAATTTAGCTTTCTAAACCGAACCGAGACGTCAAAACCGCTGGAAAACCGAACCGTAGAACCTATGTGCTCGAACTCTGCCGTTCTCAGTGGCGTCAAAATAAAAGTCACAACAAGCGTGGCTTACGTCACAAACTGGCGGTGCGAATACGACCAGGAAAATGGCCTTGGGGAACATTTAGTTCTTGCGGAACCACCCTGGTGGCTAGTTCAAATAACTACGTTTCTAGATCTACCCGATGCAAATGGGGTCCACAAATAGTCAGCAAACATTCTTCTTCCTACCAGACAATTACTACATCTGCACTGCACAGAATGCAATTAGAGGTTTTGTCCAACTAATTACACCTTAAAGACATAATTTCAGCTTTGTGGTTGTAATAAACATTTACAACATGAGATAATAATCTAAATGAATTGGTCTAAATTATGTAAAACAAGTAAGCACAAATTAGTGCTGCCGAGCTATGATGAGAACTGAATATTCCCAACCAGCTCATCTTCCACCAACATAAACTTTTGTAGAGTAACCTTTCAAATTAAAATGGGATGTGGAAGAAAATTGCCTTGATGTAAAATCTGGACCGCTTTCTGTCATCTCTCGTGTCCTGCCATCAACGGCCAGCATCTGTTCATGCCCAGCGGCCGTGTTCACACGAGCTATGATAAGATCATGTTTAGAAATGTTCTTGGCATTGGTATTACTCCGCACAAGAGAACAAGATTAATGAAAGCACTCATTAACACTCAAGCAGACGACTGACGTAAAGTGCACCAGCATGAGTAAACATTGGGGTCTAAGAGCTGGGAATGGGCACTGCTAAATGTTAACACACCACAATTACATCATGGGCAAAGCTTCAAATTAAACATGATAGAAGAAAAAAAGGTTAGGAATAAAACACCACCAGACACAGAGGTAGAAAAACAGGCACACTCATCATTCACAACAAGTGAAGGCATTGATCTGTACTCAGTCAATGAGCAGTTAGAGTCCGAACTGCTGTGAAATTGACTGGTCTAAATGCTTCACTATAATGACGAACAGCACACAAAAAGAATTGGCTGAAGGGCTCGATGTGATTTTCGACCGAGCCAACAACTCACGCAAGCCGTTTATTCTGTGATCTCTCATCCGAAGCTGTTACCAGTTTGGACTCGGCCTGCCATAGAGAAGACTGGCATGTGGCCACATTTCTAAGTGGTGAAGGGATGCTGCTGTTAACTTCGGGCGCACGGCCAGTGGAGGTAATCCAGGGCTCGCCGAGCCTGTCAGAATGAAAGCCGTCACCTGAGTCTGCGATCTGCTGACTACACACACATGGTGTTGCTTATCAGCTTGCATCCTCAATTTCTCAGAATTTCAATCCCCTTTTAAAGGCTGATCTCCGTGTGATTTTCTTTTTAAATGATGATGCCGTCACTGTGATTCTGAAACTGATCTTTAACATCTGGTGCTATTCCGTGAGGTCAAGGGTACAACAACACACACGGTTTGTCAAAAGCATGAGACAATAATGATGACACTGAGAGGGAACGGTGTAGTTCTAGTGAAATGTAGGCCTGGTCTACACTAATACTGTACGTTATCATTTGAAAACGCATCTGTTTAAAGCCCCTTCACACAGAGATTCCGGAAAACACACGGATAATGTGACCCGGCATTTGTCCCGGGATTGTTTGATTTCGGTTCATTCACACTGCCAGTGATTTGTCAGGATCTGTGAGTGCGTTCACACACAACCCGTAAAGATCCCGGAAAGACACATGACGTCAGGATGAGACGCGTCAAAAACATGTACACACGCATACCGTTCCACAAAGCTGGTGAACGATCTCAGCTTCAGCGTGGATAGTGAGGAGCTCCTGGTCTCTGCTTAGTTCCAGTTTGCAGACATTCGTTCGTCCTTTCTTTGTTGATGACGAACAGACTTTTTTTTGTAAGACCAACAAAGTCGAGCGATGGCACGAGCGTCATCACTATAACACACCCCTTACGGCATTGGTCCTGGCTTTTGTTCACACAGCGCGCGTTCCGGGACTGATTCCGGCAGTGTTACTAGATCCCCAACCCGGCATCGATGCCGGTATCAATCCCGGGTCATGTTTGCATTCACACAGAAGGCGTTCTGGCAATTTCCCGGGATCAACACGCTGTGTGAAAGGGGCTTATGGTTTGGCCTTCCATCCACACTGAGATAGGGTTTTTATAAATGAAAAACTATGTTTTTTGAAAAAACATTCTCCAAATTGTTGTCATTTACACGGTGACTGCTTTCAAAAACTTGCACTTTGAAACCCCTTTTTCAAAAGTTAGCATTTTCAGCCACCTAAAACGCAACTGACGTGTAAACAAACAGACAAAACGCATGCAAATTTGTACGTTTTTGGTTGAAAATGGTGTCGTGTAAACAGCCCCTTAGATGTTAGATCAGACCATTGATCCCCAGAGAACGAATGGGGCGAGAGGATCGGTGTGTCTTCAGTCAGCTTTTTACTCCACGAACATAAAAGAAGAGCCGGGCGGCAGCGGATTTTGTGGTCTGGCTTGCCTTTACATGCAGGGACACTTATCACACCTAGACTGAGATACAGGGCCTAGGGGCAGCGTTTCTTGAACAACAGTGCTTATCTCCTGCACACTGAGCACTAGTAGGAAAGGCAGAACCTTAACAGGACCTACACTACAAACACACGATCAAGAAACTACTAAATAGGTGGCCCTCAAGCCATTCATCACCACGCAAACACACCGAAGGTCTGCTCTCAGAAAAACACACACCTAATCTACAGGCACTGGATGAGTCACGCAGTGCTGCCTGTCATAATACAAATAATGACACTTTTTACGCAAGTCATTACGCAACTTGCTCACATTAAGTTACATTCTGCTACAATGTAGGTTAAGAGCAACAGCTGCAGTTATACTTGTGACCCTGAGCTGCCATACATTCTCCATCTGAATCAACCTTTTGTCCTGGGTGACTGTAATTCAGCATTGATCACATGTGAGTCTTTCTTTGTTCACAGAAACGCAAATAACAATGCAGAGATGAGGCTGCTGTTGCTTCTAATGTCACCAATTAATGAAGATAGAAGGACTATTATCTGAGAAAGAAGGGAATGATTTAAAGGTCTCTGTGAAGATGAGACTGTTTCATCCAGCTTTGCTAGCTGAAGCAGGGAAAGAGACACCAGCAAAAGTCATCATTCTACGGTTTAATGTAGAATAGGTCAACTGTGATGCCCTCAACATACAATACAAAGGGATGGGATGTTTCTTGAACTCCACAAGAACTGTTCAGAGACAGTTGCATGCATGATGGGTTACACTGTTATAATGGTAACCCGAACACCTCGTACTAGACTACAACTGGACGAGGTGTGAAATCTCAATCATATTAACACAAATAAATACTTACTCCGAGACTGCGGGTGAATCTTTAAGCCTTTAGGAGCCAATTTCCCGCCAATCACTTTCCTCACGCGCAGGTGAGACCTTGAGATCCGCGCGAGGACTAAGAAATGAGGAAACTTCAAAACAATTTCCTCTCTTTTTCCACGCCGTCTTATCCGTTAAAACTGATTTTTACAACAGTGTCAGGTAAAATGTTTCAATTATCTGTGTGATGATACACACGCTGTCTTTGAGTCCTACCTGTCAGACTCGGTGTTCACTCGATAACGCCAGGTGTGAGTGAACAAAACTTCACTCGAAGTTGGTCCTGTGAGTGTATAGTAAACGTTCAACAGATTTCTTACGTTTCATTAATTTATTTCAGAGTGTAATAGATTGTGCTCTACAACCGCTGTCGCTTTCTCACTCATTTCTGCCTCGCGTTTCTGTCGCTTTGATTACTCAATCTCACTCGCGCTGTACATGCATCTATTGACAACCCACTCTTAAAGGGACAGCACACTTTTATTGTGACAGCACCCCACATGGCAATGGACGACGCTAAACTTAATTTTAAACTCAAGTCCAGTTTTACCACCAAATAATTGTTAAATTCTGAGTCTATTCAATATGTAATAGTTGTACATTGTTAGGGGAAGATGTATTGCTTTTTGAAAAACACCTCTGTTAGCTTCAGTATAAAACACGAGACTGCGTTAATAAGAAACAGTATCTATTTGACGGTTGTTAAAGCGAGTTAAATGAAGAAAAAAAAACTCGGTTTAATAAATTGTAGCAGTGCCACAGTCATAAGAGCTTTAAAGTGAATTCTACTCTAGTACTCTAGTTCTACCATCTGGTCATTTGAAGAATTGCAGACAGGTCCCTACACACAAATACTGGTGATTGTATAACATCAGTTCAGTGTGTCCATTCATTTAACAAATGTAAAGCAATAGATGAAACCTATTTAGCTGAGATGTAGAAGCCAATTTCTCTGATGACAAGCGCAATATCAGATTTTGTCTTAAATCTATTAATACAATGTAGATATTGAATTCTTTTGCTGTGCCGTGGCACATGCAAACTATGATTATGAACAATTTTTCTTAAAAAAAAAATACTAATTGAGTCATAGACATCCTGGTTAAAAAATATGAGGTTAAACAAGTGATGAAAGAACCTAAATGTATGTCAGTGTAGTTATTTTAGATGAGAGTCGCTCCACAGTTATTTTGACACAAAGAGCTTCCAACATGAATCCAAAAAAAGCCTTCGGTATAAATGAGTTGCTCAAACTTTTTATTAATCACTTGCAGACTTATCATACAACTGAGAATGCACATGCGTAATGTCATAAACCAATTATATCCAGAACAAAACTACTACTGCCATTACATAGCATTCTTCAGAGACTTTTTAAAAGATATGAATATAGACAATCATGAATCTGCAAGCGATAACTAAAAGACATTTTCGTTAGAATAATCTTTAATCTCCATTTTCATCTCTTCCACATTATATGTTCTGACACATTTTAAAGTTGTACATCAGGGTCTTTCTCAGTGCATAAACATTATTTTCCAATTGCAACTCGATTCATATTGACGGCCATATGATATGATGACAAACAGATGATACTGGTATAAAAAGGAAACCAGTAAAACCAATTAGCTGAATAGTTTCAATGAAATCTCAGTTTGAAGAAGTTGAACACAATTTGATTGAAGTTAAATACACACAAAGAAAAAGAGAAAACAAACAAAAATGGAAAACTATTTCAATCTTTAAAGCTTCAAAGGCACAAACAAGTCATTGATACGCTAGAAACAGAAGAAATATGAAAACCGAATAAGAGAACAGGACAGAATCTTATGAGAGGATCTTACAGAGGTTTCGATCTCTGCTGTGATCCTCACCCACTCCACATTTGATTCATCTAAGGCAGAAGAAGGTAACAGCACTACATGACTCACAACAGATAACTAGCATGGTAGGAGTGTGTGAACATAGCGATTTGTACATCATGGGAAACACTGTTCCCGATAATTACATCCACACCACAGTGAAATATGAGGGGCACTGCCCTCGATATCAACACGGTAGGCAAAAACTACCATCATCTTCTTCGCATTATGGAAGCCACTGCTTCCGATAATTATTCTGGATCAGGCAATAACATTGATTCAAAAGGAGGATGCCAGAAACTAAATCTAATCATTTAAAGAAATGAACTGTGGTAGTTTCTGATCATAGCTTTTAAAAACAAGGTTATCTCCGTAGCAGATGCTGCTTTCACATTTCGACAGTATAACTGTCATAATTATGGAAGGCACTGCTTCCGATAATTATACATTTGTTAAAAAAGGCGTTACAAAATACTATTTATAGTGATCCCTGTCACTGATAAATAAAAACAAACTAATAAATAGATACTTCAGAGCCACGTAGGAAAGCCTCTTTCTACTATTTGACAATTGATCTGAAATGCCCCTGAAAAGCGTATCCAACCAAAAAAACTGGAAAAATACTGTGCTTTAGGATGCGTGTTATCACAGGTAAGTTAGGTTACAAACATTAAAACTGAAATGGCTGATTGTCCAACTGTAGCCTGTTAATAAACATCGACCTCTAAATCCAGACTGTTCAGGTATTACGCAAGATGTTCTTACAACTGAAAATGATGAAACCAATAACACATTCCAAATTTGTGCAATCTAAACTAGATCCTAAATGAACAACTCACCCAAGAAATATGTTGGATTATTGACCCTGATGTCATTCTAACCCCTTATACATTTTGTATGGATTCAAACATTGAATTATAGCACACTTTTATGATATTTTATGATGCTTGGGTCCTGTATTGAAGTTTGAAATCTCCACTAATTTCATGTAAAAGAGCAACCAGGACATTTTTTCACAATATCTTCATGCGTGTTTCACAGAAGAGGTTTGGAAGGACATGAGGGTGAGTAAAGGATGACAGAATTGCTATTCTTGGGTTAATTACTGCTTTAAATATACTGAGGTAATCCTCGAATCATAAATTCACTTTAACAGAGCACCAATATCGTTTTCTCCTTTTTTTGACTTGAGTGATGGTTCAGAGTGATCAAATTTCATTATCCATATCCCAAACTTCCCCTGCCAATGCATTGGCACAGCCCTGGATGGTCCAGGTAGCGAAAGCAAACTCATTCCTGAATTGGTCAACGTCAGCAGATTGAAGATTTCCTCTAATAGCGTCGAGGTGAGCCACTAAAGCTGCCAGTGTGTGCGAGCCAGAGCCCAGGATGATGTGCCGGAACGGCCTCTCCCGTGGAGACACGTAAGGAGAGAGGAGACTGCCTTCCACCTTCACACAGACACACAGTGTTAACGTCCACATGACCAAAAGTAACTTTTAAAATAATCTGTCTTTTTCATGTCACAACTGCTGCTCTGTACAGTTTCTAAAACTGCTTTAAATCCCTAGAATGCAAGAAGAGTGAGCTTTAAAACATTTCTAAGGCTGGTATTTTGTTGCTTTCAACCCATTTGTATAACATTTGAGGTACTCTCTATATGCTAGTGTAGAAGTTGACTTAATGAATGCATAGTAATTCATTTAAACTGGATCTAAAAATTTAGCAAAATTGGAGTAGGATGTTCCTGCAATACTCTCTTTTTGACCCTCTTGTTTCCCCATATGTACAGTTATGTATATTGTGTTAATTGATTTATTGTCTTAACCTACCCCTAAACACAACCATTGGTAAATCTCTTGAAATATAATATTTATTTATTTATTTTTTTTATTTTTTTGTGGGTCTAGTTTATTTCAGGTCTCTTCTGTTGGAGTAGAATTAGCTAGGCGGCGCTGTCTCAAAAAACTAGAGTCCTAGAAAAGCAGTCCTGAAACTGCAACCTCTGAAATTGCCGGAATATTGCAAAATACATTTTAAAATGTGTCTTCTGATGAAGCAAAACTTTAAATATAAATTACTTATCATATCCAAACATTGTCCAATGATCGCAAGAATGACCCTCCTCCTACATTACGCTGTCTGTTGAAGCATGTTTTCTCAGGTTACTGATGCACTTACAGGTTTACGCACTATTGTAACCTAATTTCCCTTGCATGCACATTTAGTAAATTATATTTTAAGAACTATTGTTTCAGAAGGTAACACACTTTAAAAAGTGAATGTCATTTAATTTTAATAAAATGGATGCTTAATTTGGTTTCTATTTGCTTGTGCTCGATTGCACCCTCTTGTGGGCATAGGAGACATTACAGATTAACATTACAGGGATAGTTCACTTTGAAATTAATTTTTGATATGTTTTAGCTTACCTCAAGGGCATCCAAGATGTAGGTGTCTTTGTTTCCACAGTAGTTTTAATTTTAATATTTTTAAGTCAAACCATTCTTGTCTGTCAGTCATACAATGGTGGTATATGGTCACCACCTCAAAAAGCATGCAGTATCATTTTACCACCTATAACCATAGCCAAAAAGCGACTGCGCCCTCAGATTACTTGGACGTGGCTATGGTTACAAGAGGTAAAACGATATAAATACTGTTCGTTTTCTCACACAAACCGCTTGTTCCGTGTCTTAGGCCATCAATGTGTACTTACATTTACGAGTTATTAAATCATGTTTAATTTGGACTTCTCTGTGCATGCTATTTGAGATGGTGACCATAGACCTGCATTATATGACTGACGGTTTTGACCTAAAAATATCAAAATTGAAAATACTGTGGAAACAACGACACCTACATCTTGGATGCCCTTGAGGTAAGCTAAAACATACCAAAAATTAATTTCAAAGTGAACTATATCTTTAAGTATTGCCTTTTAGAATTTGCTAATATTTAAGAAATAAATTTGAATTTAGCCTTGTCATTTTGACAGCCCTAATGTCAACACAGAAAAGAATGAAATGGCTAGACAAGTGCCATGTTATTTACCCTCATAATGCGATTGTTGATTATGCGACACTGCTCCATGTCGTCAAGATCGCTTGTGCGGATGGTGGAAACAAGGGCGCTGGCGGCACGATCGTACGACCCCTGAGCTGACAGAAGCCACTGCATCGTCAAAGTGGAAGGAAGGCGGCCAACCTTGACAAGTAAAATGCACAAATTGAATGTAAATATCCGTAAAGTACAGATAGCACCTTTAAAAGCCCTAAAGGGACATGGTGAATGAAAAAAATATATAAGATGGGAGTAAATGCTTTTGCGTTCTCTTGCAAATGTTTTGCGTTGCCCTGCCTGGCAAAGAACATAACAGTTTCTTGGGGGAACGCACATTTTTTCTGATTGAATGCAGTTCCTCAGGGGAACGTAACATGATTTACGAGCAAATGCAAAAGCATTGAAATTAATGTTTTTTGTTCCATCACCATGTCCCTTTTAGGTGCCCTGTAGATATTCAACAGACACCAAGCTAAAATTCTTTTAGAGTAAACACATGCAACCCCGTAGACTCACCATTTGGCGTGATTCAACTTTGGTCCTGATCTGGGACACATAGTTGCGGATCACGTTGGTATACTTCGCCACGTTCAGCTTGAGTAGGTGGTCGTGTACCAGCCGAAGAGTAACCAGCCCAGCCACCTCACCTGCTGTCTTCGCCAGTTTCACAGTGGAAGAGGAAGTGTACCGGTCCAGAGTTTGTTTGGTATCCTCATAAGTGCCAAATGGGTACTCTGACACTGAACCCTAAAAAACATCAGGCAGATGTTTACTTCCCATCATCCATAAAGAAACCAACTGAACCTGAATGTATTTTACTTTATTTTGACATCTTCAGTAAAACCGGAATACTTACCGAAGTAAATCGAAAGGAAAGTGACGGGATGCCCGAGAAGCTCTGGAATGGATAAGCAGAGTGAGACAAACCCATAGGCTCCATTCTGTGAAGGAAGAAAAAGGTAGAATGTTTTTAACATTGTTGGTACTGGATTAGAACTTTTAAAAATAATGTAATTCATTGAAACAAAGCTGAAAAAAATAAATTGAAAATGTTGCCTTTAAAAGTTACGAACTGCAGCATTAAAACATGTATTTTAAACGTTGAGCATTAAAACTTTGCAGATGTTGTTTATGCTCAAACAGCAACATTACACACTAACTAACGTTAGAAAAGTGAAATCATAATCAAGCACCCCTTTAATAATACTGTAATAGTATTTATATAAATATATGATCAATATTTAGGACCAACTTACACAGACTTCTCCCAGCTGGATCCAGCAAACTGTTCATGCAAGGATTTGGTTGCATCAGTTGTATGGGAGACCTGCATGGGGAAGAAGTCATTTTTCTTTACAAGACAGATAAAACAGCTTAGGACAGGTTATAAGAAGAAAGATTCAACATTTGTGAAAAGAGGTGTGCGATATATATAGTTTATGAAAATATCGGAATAGCTGTTTTAATGATATGTGATCTGAAATTATCAAGTATGCCCTTCACTTTAAAAAAAAACACACTCGGAGAGCGCACGCATACACTACGTTTAGTAGGTTAGACTAGTGTTTGTCTATTAGAGCGCACGCTTTCACTGCTTGATTTACTCTATTAAAATGCATTTACAATCCCACCAAAATATTCAAGATAATCGTATCTGTATATATTTTATATTTATTTAATTTAATATAGTTAATATCACACAATGAGTGCCACTTTTTCTCCATATACCAGCACAATTACAAATGTGACACAGCCTCTATACAATATTTCAATAAACAAAATGTATGATTATGTGACTTCACATTCTAGACAGAATATCGCCTGTTTTTTTATCCGTTTCTCCAACGAAAATAGTTTAAAACAAAGTCAAATAAACATTACTTCTGCACTTCCATCTATGTCAACTGTGTAGAATTAATGGGATCCATTACCTGCTTCATAGTGCTCTCTAGTAAGTCATACAGCAGTGGACTGGCAGATGCTTTGAAAGAGTCAGAACCTAAAGAGAACGTCAGATGATCAGCATCAACTCAAGAACAAAGTTCAACTCCAATTCTTCAAGAAACCTTTTACAAACCTGAAATAACTTCATCAAGGCTGATGTAAGAAAACGTTTTCAAATTCAAGGAGGTCAGGTAACCCTATGGGTACAAAAAACACAAAATATAAATTTACGCAGTAAATTCTAAGTCTATATTTGCAATTGCATCCTGACATTCTACAGTAGCAGGGCCGGCACCACTCAGTATCAATGTAAAAATAGATTTTAATGATTAAATAGAATATAACAGACTATAAAAACAGTTAATGGGCCCCATTAGAGGCTTTCGCACCAGGTACTGTAGCTCTAGGAACATCAACAGAATGTTTCCCCAAGAACTAAATGTTCCCCAAGGCCATTTTCCTGGTTGTATTCGCACCACCAGAACAAACTCTGAAGTGACGTAAGCCACGCTTGTTTAGTTCTTTAGATCTAAAACCATTACCAGTTCCTGTGGTGCGAACAGGCCAAAAAGCAGGTACTTCCGCCATAAGTTCAAGGAAGTAAGAAAAGGTTCCTCTGGAGCGAAAGCCCCAAATTTTTAAAAACCTTTTTTTTTTTAAGGCTTACAATTGTATGCTTCGCTCGGAGTATTATACTAGTAATTAGTTGTAGTAATTCAAAAAAAAATAAAAATAAGTCTGATTTAAGTTTGAAAAATGAATGTAAATACGTATGGTTACTGGTTTGAGATTATTTGGTCACACAAACAGAGAATTCACTCCCATATCCAACAAGGCCATTTTTAAACAGAGGACAATTTAAAGATGCATTCATACCTCCAACCACTCAGTGGCCCCAACACTACCAAATTCACCAGCACTCCAGCTGGCAAACACAATGCTCCTCTTTGGCTTGAATCCATCTTGAAAGACAAGAAAGTTACACTTATAAATCAACAAGAATTATTGCCAATTAATAATTATCATTTTTACTTCATTATTTTGATGTGAAATAAATGTCTTTAAAAAGAAAACCACTACTTATTTGAAATGTACCATTCTTGATCATGTCTGTGATGGCTCTGGCCAACTCCACCAGTAAACTAGTGCCGACTGTGCTTCTAGCAAATCCAGGGCCCCACGCATCTCGCTGAGCTCCGATCACCATATAACGATCTAAAGCAAAGGATGAAGACAAAAACAGTGATTAAGGACTGGGGCCAATTACTTGTTTGAGGTGCTGTTTAAAGCCCAGTGTAACCGAATACAGTACCTGGATCCAAATAACCTTTAATGACTCCAAACACATTGTGGATTTTTTTCTGAACAAGGACATTGTTCACTTCCACGGTAATATTGTCACCTTCATCACCAAACTTGGTATCCGAGAACATCTCAGGACTCCAGCCAACAGGTAAAAGCCGACCGCGTAACTTACTGCGAACAAATGTGGAAAATACGTAAATAAAGGGAATAATAACAAACCAGATTGACCTAAAACCGATGAGAGTGTGAGTGGTTCTTGCAGTCAAGATGCTAGAGGGATCTGAGTGTCTTCCAAGACATTGCTATGCAGTTGTTAAGATGTTCTGCATTTTTTTGGTGCATTGTCATGGGGTTGATAGACTGTTGCTTGGGTGTTCTGCATGGTCGCTGCTGTAGGTTGTTGCTTGCTCAAGTCAAAAGAGCTCAATTCCAAACATATATTATGGCGCTTTTCCATTACCAGTACCAACGGCTCGACTCGGCTTGCTTTAAGCACCTTTTCCATTGCAGACAGTACCGCTTCAAATAGTACCCGGTCATCATAGCGACGCCGTTCCTCGCTGCCCTATCAAGATCCTCTCTTCGGCCACCAAACAAAGGAAAGTCTAAAACTTCTTCCAAGTTGCCATAATAATAATAGAAAGTAAGTTTAGAAACTATCTCTGGCCAAACTATTTTAAAATAGCGGATACTCCATCTGGCGCGTGCAAGGTGACGATTCTCTCTGACCAATCAGCAGTCGGCATTGTTTTCACGTCACATTTTAGTATCGCCTTAGCTCGCCTCAGCTCGCTCAGAACCTCGCCAGAGGTGATGCTAAAAAAAGTACACGAAAGCAGGAACAGGTACAACTTTTACACAGCGGAAATCAACCAAAGGCAAGTCGAGTCAAGCTGGTACTGTGTAGTGGAAGAGCGCCATTATATTCCGGAGCCGATTCATAAAACATTCATTTAAATAAAACTCTAACTGGTATTTTATACTTACTCTCCAACTAAATAAAGTTACGAATATTTTGTATTTCCAAAAAGCATTGCATAAGAAATTATTTTTTTTCTAAAGAAAACTTTCACAAAAATTTATCGTAAATAACCTCTTAAAGTTAGGATAACCTCTTAAATCCCCAAATGTAATGTATTTAATTCATTTTTAGGGTTGTTTAAAACATCAATCATTACAATAAAACCCTAGCTACATATAATATAACATATAATATTAATTAATAAAATTAAACAAAATTAATTATGTTGATTTAAAAACATTTACGAATTAAGAAAAACTCAAAAACAAAATCAAAAAGGGAAATCGGTTTTAGTTTTATAATTATGATATATTTTTTGGTAAAATTTAGGAGTGACTTTGTGCTTTGTAACTTTGCAGACCCTTTTTATGCTCAAGCAGCAACATTTCACACTTGTAAAAGCATAATAGCTTTGGTCCTCTAAGTATATAAGATTTGCCTGCAAAAAAACAAGAGAAATGTCACTTGCAGTCACAACTGTACCTTATGATCTCAGTAGCCTGCTTTATGGTGATAGTTTGGGCCGGAATGAGGGGCAAGCCAGAAGACTCAGCCGGGGGAAACTGGGTGTGATTGAAGGAAGGGAATCCAGGAGTGTAGGGATCACCAGTGCCAAGATGGACCTTTGAAAAGAGCGTTTTTGAAAGATCATGAATCGACTGTACATAAACACTTTGAATAAAACCAATAATCTGACAAGAGAAAGGTTCCACAACTTACATGGCCAAATAGAGCAGTGTTTTCATTAATTTTGTTGTTATCAGGATCTGGGTAAATTAGCACTGCACTAGCATTCAAGCTAGCAGCATTAGCCACCTGAATAAGCAAATGAAAACCAGAGGATTAATCAGTAAATATTAACAGTCTTAAAATATGAGTGAGTGAGAGCACCAACCTTTTCAGCGAAACTTAATAGTCCAGCTCTGATCAAGACAACCTTTCCATTCACATCAACATTCATCTCTTGCAGGCGACTGAAGTCCTCTGCTCGTCCATAATGAGCATACAGAGCGGCTCCCTACACAATAGAATCAGTAATAAGTCATTAGAAATAGTCTGAAACTAGTGAGGTCAAACAGATTAATCAAGTCAAGTTTCACAATACAGATTGTATCAAAGCTGCTTCACAGTATTAATCAAGACAACTAGAAAATTAACACTTCTCTCAGAGTTGAATTTTACATGCGCATTTTTTTTAATTTATGAATTTAAGCGATATTCGGACATACTGTACAGTGGGGCCAAAAAGTATTTAGTTAGCCACTGATTGTGCAAGGTCTCCTACATAGAATGATGAGAGAGGTCTGTAATTTTCATTGTAGGTACAACTTCAACTGTGAGAGACAAAATGAGAAGAAAAAAAAAATCCAGGAAATCAATTTGTTGGATTTTTAAAGAATTTATTTGTAAATTATGGTGGAAAATAAGTATTTGGTCACCCACAAACCAGCAAGATTTCTGGCTCTCACAGACCTGTAACAACTTCTTCAAGAAGCTCTTCTGTCCTCCACTCGTTGCCTGTATTATTGGCACCTGTTTGAACCCGTTATCTGTATAAAAGACACCTGTCCACAGCCTCAAACAAACAGTCACACTCCAAACTCAACCATGGCCAAGACCAAAGAGCTGTCGAAGGACACCAGGAAGAAGATTGTAGACCTCCACCAGGCTGGGAAGAGTGAATCTGCATTAGGCTTGGTGTGAAAAAAAATCAATTGTGGGAGCAATTGTAAGAAAATGGAAGACATACAAGACCACTGATAATCTCCCTCGATCTGGGGCTTCACGCAAGATCTCATCCCGTGGGGTCAAAATGATCATGAGAACGGTGAGCAAAAATCCCAGAACTACACACAGGGACCTGATGAATGACTTGCAGAGAGCTGGGACCAAAGTAACAAATGCTACCATAAGTAACACACTACACCGAGAGGGACTCTAATCCTGCAGTGCCAGGCGCGTCCCCCTGCTTAAGCCAGTTCATGTCCAGGCCCGTCTGAAGTTTGCCAGAGAGCATATGGATGATCCAGAAGAGGATTGGGAGAATATCATGTGGTCAGATGAAACCAAAATAGAACTTTATGAAACTTGTGAAAACTCAACTCGTCGTGTTTGGAGGAAGAAGAATGCAGAGTTGCATCCCAAGAACACCATACCTTCTGTGAAGCATGGGGGAGGAAACATCATGCTTTGGGGCTGTTTTTCTGCAAAGGGGACAGGAAAACTGATCCGTATTGAGGGAAGAAGGAACGGGGCCATGTATCGTGAGATTTTAAGCCAAAACCTCCTTCCATCAGTGAGAGCCTTGAAGATGAAATGTGGCTGGATCTTCCAGAATGACAATGATCCCAAACACACCGCCCGGGCAACGAAGGAGTCCTCAACCCCATAGAAAATTTGTGGAGGGAGTTGAAAGTCCGTGTTGCCCAGCGACAGCCCCGAAACATCACTGCTCTAGAGGAGATCTGAAAGGAGGAATGGGTCAAAATAGCAGCTACAGTGTGTGCAAACCTGGTGAAGACTTACAGGAAACGTTTGACCTCTGTCATTGCCAACAAAGGTTATATTACAAAGTATTGAGTTGAACTTTTGTTATTGACCAAATACTTATTTTATTAAATAAATTCTTTAAAAATCCTACAATGTGATTTCCTGGATTTTTTTTTTTTTTTTTCTCTCATTTTGTCTCTCATAGTTGAAGTGTACCTACGATGAAAATTACAGACCTCTCTCATCATTCTAAGTAGGAGACCTTGCACAAAATACTTTTTGGCCCCACTGTATGCCTCATTCATTCATTCATTCATGTAATGCACTCAAGGACAAACTGCAACTCAAACGTTGTTTAGAAAGCTAGTGCTGTCCGAATAGAGCTTTAGCAAAAACAATTTGCATACGCTCAGATGTAATCCAGCATGGCTTCAAGAGTCTTGGAATATTACACACATTGTATGAACTACTTGTATGATAGTTTTATGGTGCTCTTTTGTCAGTTGGTTGTCAATATAAATGAACATTCAAAACTAACCTCCACTGTAGCAACTGCACTGTATGCCAAATATCCCTCGGTTGTTCCCACAGAGTTACCACGAAACAGCACTTTATTTGAGGTACCACGATCTTGGACTTTCACAAAGTGTTCGTCGGTCCAGGGGTTCATTCCAAGTGTTCGGAATTTTCCCATGACTTTATTAGCAAGCATCTCATCGCCTGAGCTTCCCGCCTGGTGACTGACACTGGAGAATTCCCTGCAAGAGGGAGAGAGAACAAAACATGTTTAGCTTGAGGACCTGCTCATCTCACCGTATGGAAAAGAGCAGTTGTGTGTATTTACTTGAGGTTGCTCTCGATGTTGCCGGTTGTCAGTTTCTTTTTCAGCAATGCCCTGAGATCACTCCAGTCCAACGAATAAACTGGTTGTTCTTTCTCTAGGGTAGTCTCACTATAAACTGGACAATCTGACTTGATTTCATTTTTGTCTGTGCTTCTATTAGACAGGTAACCAATGAGGTATCCTGAAAGACAAAAAAAACATTGTAACCATTTTTGGGCATTAAAATGTTAGTTTATCAGTCTTACACAAAAACATCTGACCACAGAATTCTACGACTGACCGATCAGAATTAAGTATTCAAGAGGGAAAATAAGCTTGAAACTACACAGGCTTACCAATAATAAAGAGGAACAGAATGGCAGTGACAATTCCACAGACGGTTTTGGGCGAGCGCTGGTTCAGCTTGCTTGGGTAATATGGACGATTATGTTGATGTATGCTTTCCCCACCACCGTTAGCCTCCACTTCATCATCCATGTCAGATGAGAGCTTCATCTCCACATGGCTGTTGTCCCCCTCCATGTTCTGGGTCAGGTTAAAGCGTGTATAGGAGCGCGGCTCCCCGTTGAACTAGCAAAATACAGATCCAAGACGCCAATGTGAAACACAGTGTTTCAGCACAAAAAAAAAAGAAGAGGAAACCTCAAACTTCATGACTTGTCCTTAAAGGAACATAGTTTACTTAAAAATTAAAATTCTGTCATAATTTACTCCCTTAAAGTTGTTTCAAACCTGTATGAATTTCTTTCTTCTGCTAAACACAAAGGAAGAAATTTGGAAGAATGTCAGGAACCAAACAGTTGATGGACCCCATTGACTTCCATTGTATATTTGTTTTCCTTCTATGAAAGTCAATGGGGTCCATCCACTGTCTGGTTACCAACAATCTTCCAAATTTCTTCTTTTGTGTCCAGCAGGTTTGAAACAACTTGAGTGGAGTAAATTATTACATAATTTTCTTTTTTAAGTGAACTATGATCCTTTAAAGGAGAACTTTGGCGCAAAATGAACCTTTGGTCTAATAAAACATCGGTACCTAGTCGACCGTTCTCTGAGATTTGTTTTCATGATAATCGAATGTAAAGAGTTTTATCTCTAAAAACTGTTTAGCGTATACGCTAGTATATGGGGCATAGAAGAAGTAAAAAGAAATTGCTAGTTTATACCACTAACAAGGCTCAAAATAGCTGTTACTGCGTTAGTGTGGGGCTATTTTGAGCCTTGTTAGTGGTATAAACTAGCGATTTCTTTTTACTTAGTAAATGCCCCCATTACTAGCGTTATATGCTAAACAGTTTTCAGAGATAAAACTCTTTTCATTCGATTATCATGAAAACAAACCTCAGAGAACGGTCGACTAGGTAGCAATGTTTTATTAGACCAAAGGTTCATTGTCATTAAGTTTGAGGTTTCCTCTTCAATATAGAAAATTTTTCAGCACAATAAGTAAAAGTAATAACAGGAACATTAAGGAGGTTTCAGATGAAGTTCCTAAAATCTGCTTGAGAGAGAGACAAAGGCTACTTCCACATTATTCCGGATACATTTGAAAACGGGGTTTTCGTTTAAAAACGCTCTCCGTCCACACTAGCGTTTTCAGGTATTTTCCGACGTTTCAGTGTGGATGAGAAACTTCTAAATTCACTTTACTGCGCATGCGTGAAACTTCACAAAAGCTCACTGAGATGATACAGATGGGAAAATAAATAATAATGTCATCGCACAATAACAGGATCATTTTATTTAGCAAAATATCTCACCATCACGGATGCGTCCAGGTCGCATTCAGTCACCATATGTTTGGTCTAAAACACAACTGCTCTCGTGTTTTGCCGCAGGACAGCAAATGTGAGTAGACTACACTATCTGTTATCTTTGCAGTACTGTGCTATGAAGAATAGCACATATTAAGTAACATAGAAAGTAACATATTTTAGCAATAGTGTAAAAATGAATAACACATAACAGGCACAATACCGATAAACATGAATTGGTACTACATGGATCACATGACTAAACTTATGTCATCGTTTTGAAATACCTCCAGTTTCACTGTCCACACTACAAAGCGAAAACGGCGTTTTGAAATTTATCCACTTTGGAGAGCGTTTTCCAAACGATACGTTTTTGTTGACTTAAAACGGCGTCTCAGTGTGGACGGAAGGCCAAAACGGAGAGAAAAATATACGTTTTCAAACGAAAACGTATTAGTGTGGACATGGCCAAATATGAGTGACCCCATGACCTCGTGTTTTATTATAAAGAAACTGTGATTTTCTTTGCTCTCTCAAATGGTAACTGATTGGTTCAGATAAATCAGTTATAATGCCATGACAAAATACATTTATGAGAAATTGTCTTACGATTTTTGAAATTGTTGTCCTGGCTTGCTCCATCGTGGCCTCAAATAACTGCTGGAAGAGAATGAGAAATGTTCAGTGGATCAATCACACAAACTGATCACTGTGTAGGAGATAAACATCATAAAACAAAGATATATCCTTTATCTAAACAAAAGCGGGATGTTTATAACGCATCATATCTTAATGTTGGTGAAGGTGCACTACACAATATTTTGTTTGTCTCTAACTGATATTACCGTGGTCATGAACTTTGAACCTTGACACCTCTGTGTGTGTGTGTGTGTACATGTTTTTGTACATGAAGATGTTCTATTCACCACTGATGCATACATCAGTTTGTTTTAGTCTGAGCTATGACTTAAATTATTGCTGATTAATCATATTGATCAGGGTCTTGACAGATGTGGTCACTGTGAACTGTCATTAAATGAAAAATGAAATGCATGAAGATTCTTAATGTTCTTTTGTTAATGAAAAAATTAACATGATATGGATTTAGTACAAAACTAAATATTGATAATTGGTGACATTTACATTAAGTTGACATTTAAAATGAGTTGATTTTATTTCTATAGAGTGCAACAGTCTGTGAGCTACAAGGTTGTTAATCAATGATATTTGATTCTTCTGAAGCAGTAATCCTGCATTATTTCCGGTTATTTTTAAAATAATATCATTGAGCAGCAGGATTCATGGAGAAAAATTAATACTCATGATGCTGTACAAAAAATAACACCAATCACCAATAATTCAAGTATGCTGTTCACAATGCTTCATGCAAAAAGTGATTTAGTACATGTTTTGTACATTTGTATTTTTTTTTTCTCGATTTTCAACAACTTTTTTTGCTTTATTTCAAATTTTGTAGTGTTGCAATTCATCTCATAGTGGATTGGCTTGTTTAAAGGATTATAATGCTTTAACAAAGACTATTTTGAAATCTCTATGAAAGAAATTAAATGTAAAAAAAAAAAAAATACTACCAGAACCGGTTAGTTTACTCGAAAAAAGGGGTGGATGCACAATTGCTTTCTCTCTTTATATCTTATACATGATTCATTAATTTCATTTGGCAATAAAATAAAATAATTACAGTTATATGTGCATCAATAGTGAAGTATAGTTATTTTTATTTATTTTATTTAATAATTATATTTTCATGGTCATTTTTGCTCTTATTGTGATAAAATTTCTCTCTATTTTACATCGAGTTTTTAGTTTTTAATATATGTATTAGCCTAATGATTAAAAAAAATTACAGAATTGTTCTTTTTGATTCAACTATCCCTTTAAAATAGTCTGGTAGAGTGATAAATATATATTTTTAATTACAAATATCCCATATAGTGCATAGCACAAGAACTAGGAAAGTGTTTTTTAAAATAGCTTTAGATGAAATCTAGCCGGTCACACCACAGGAAACTACTAGAAATTTCACATCAACCCTTAACCTAATATTTTTATTAAGATTATATAATATATTATGGCATGTTTATAAAATGTATTCACTATAAAATTTAACAAGCAGGACTGTGGAATAAGAGACATCTGAAGGACTGGATCTGTTTTTTTCAGTGGTTGAAGGTTACAAGAAATATGACAACCCAAAGCACAAAAGATAGACACTGCACAAGCAGTTTCATTAAGCAAACAGAGAAAAGTGAAACAATTAATTTGTTCTAAAGACATAGAATAAAGTCACACTGAAGAATTGTGCCAAATTCACTGTGACACATGCATGCTGGAGATAGGAGAAAGCCTTCGGGCTACACCCTACCAGGAAAGAACTTCGTGAACACAATCAGATCAAACCAATCCTCACGTCCGTTGGGGCCTGGCTGACGTTAAACCTCGTGCTGTCTTTTCCTCAGAAACTACACAGAAGTCTGGTGAGCTCATTCAGGACGGCCCACTAATCCTCATACATTGTCTATGAGTGCATTAGCCCTCGGGCTTAATTATGCAATTTACTGCGGGAACAACGAGAGCCGCATAAACGATTAAGGACTTTTATCAAATCAAGGCTAAAACAAAATAATAACAATCAAACCAGAGAAACTAAGCCAAAGTTGAGAGGATCATGTTCAAGGACAAGCCAGTCAAATGTTATTTTATGGAGAAAAAAATAAATAAATAAAACTCCATGAGCGGTCAAAAATCCTCAATGGTTTTGTTAAGGGTGCTGTTGGTTTAATCCATTCATGCAAAACACCAAGCTTGTTTCATGTGCCTCTGTGTCACCACCACTTGAATCATATTTTTTTTTAAGAAGTAAATGGATGAATTAGTCAAAACTTGTGGCGTTTTCTCACATTTTAAAATAACCTCTCTAGACGCATACGTCAATAATGCATTACTGTATTTTTCTGGCCCTACAGATTAACGTCAAACTATTTTGGATCACGATCTAAGAATGTGCAGGCATTGTTGATTAATCTTTCCAGAAGTGGCAGAGAGGATTAAACTGTAGAGAAATCATGTGATGGTCACACTGTGTAAAATCACTGTACAGTCTAATAATGTGTTGTTGGGTGAGCTTAAAATGTGCTTCATGTGGTAATATCTAAATGAAATAAAAGTTTAAAAAAGTTAAAAAAAAATTCTCATTTTTATGTTCATGTTAGCTAAAATTAACTCCATTGACTGCATATTTTCCCCCTTTTTTCATAAAATGTTATTACCACAGAACTCTATTTGCAAAATATGACTCACTCATATGACTTTTCAAGTCAGGAGAGATGAAAAGACACAGGGAAGGACAAATGCTCAGAGCTGAACCTGAAGAAAATGTCACATCCACCTGCCACTAAACCACAATGGAAAAATACAAATTACTTAAACTCCTAAAATGGAAATCGAACTTGTAAGCACCACAACGTTAGTAAAATTATTTAATATTGATTAAATAATCAATTATATTAAAATTATATGAAATTATTTATTATATGAAATTATATGAATTATATCAATTATGTGAAATTTATATTATATATTATATCAATTATATGAAAAGTATTTATATTAAAAAACTAAATACAGATGTATAATATCACCAAAAAGTCAGTTTTATGATTATTTAAAAACATCACCAAAAAAGTCAGTTTTGTCGTTAATTTTCCACGTAAAACAATAACCATGTCCTATCATTTGACACGATCTGTGTGAAGGTCAGTTTGTGGAGCACGTGTGAACTCTCTGTAGGAAGAAGTCCAAGTTAGTCCGCACCTGCTCTGTTTACAAGCATTTACAGTATCCTCCATACGAATTAAAAGCGATTATAAACTAATAATTTCAATTATTAATTCAATATTATGCGAAATAATAGTAAACTTCAATGGTTCAGAGAGCTATAATGCACCCCTAATTTCTGCACCATTACAGTAGAAATTGTAACAACATAACATTCAGCAGACAACGCATTTCTATTAGAAGAACAATATTCAAGTCTTACCAAATCTCTCGAGCTCCTATCTTACTGTAGATAGATAAAGTCACGACCACCGCGAGCGAGCGAGCGACACACATTCACTTAATAACCTTGGCGTCAGAGACCCTGCAGCAGCACATTCATATTGAGGGGAGGCGGGTGCTTGGCTTTGTGTCACTTCCGGGTTACTATATTAGGAAATTATGTACTCTTGTAGTAGGTTCAAGAGCAGACGAAGATTTGGACCCTTTTTTTATTTACTATATCTTCAAATTCAGCCTAATCTCCACTTGTGATTTATATTCGAAGAGTATCCAGTAGGCTATAAAATATGGTAATATACTACTGAATAATTAGCTATAAGAACTGAGTAGCTAATATTAATTAGAATATATTTAGTATTAATTATGTTGATCTGCTTATTATGCATAGCGATTTAATTAATTATAATAACATGTACAATGTGGCACAGATAAGTGTAAGCATTTTATTTATTTTCTCCCCTAATAAGGAAGGTCGTGCATGTTTATTCTTCTTTTTGGGAGTCATGAAAAGATTGCTTTATTTTTCAAAGTGCCTTTTTTATTTTTCTAAGTGCCTCAGCAGACTCACAAGAAGAAGAAGAAGAAGAAGAAGAAGAAGATTCGTGCCAAAGTAATCTAGCCTAGGAGACATTTTCCAGGAGGAGCTCGGGAAAAGGAAAGGACACAACCAATGTGGGTTTTCGTCAAAATTCAGCAGCACCTGTGAAAATACTTTGAGTAATACAGAAGCAACTCAGATTTAGTTTTAACTGTGCATGTGTGCAAATGTTGGAGACGCTTCATTCTCTGACCTCTGAAGCACATGGAGTTGTTCACTTTTAAAAAAAACTTTTGCTGATAATTTTCTCACCCCCATGTCATCCAAGATATCCATGTCTTTCTTTCTTCAGTCGAAAAGAAATTAAGGTTTTTGATGAAAACATTCCAAGCTCAAATGCTCACCTTGCTCTGTTCTGTGATAAGCGTTCGTGACTCTCCTGTTCAAACTTGTTCATCAAAATGAACAAATCTTTTTTTTCGAGTCATGACTCGAAGACCCTTATTCATCGTCTGGTGTCGTTTAAAGTCCTTTGAAGCTGCACTGAAACTCTCATTTGGACCGTGAATCGTTTGGTTCCCATTGAAGTCCATTATATGGAGAAAATCCAGGAATGTTTTCCTTAAAAAACCTTAATTTCTTTTCGACTGAAGAAAGAAAGACAGGAATATCTTGGATGACATGAGGGGTGAATAAATTATCAGCAACAGTTTTAAAAAAAAAAATGAACTACTCCTTTAAGCAAGGTAGGTTTCTTTGATTACATGTAGAGTGTGTTCAGTAACACAGCAGAAAACATGTTGTCATGTTTATCCAAATATAAAATTACACAATTTCATTAATTAGCAATAAGCCAAGTCACCTTTATGTATATAGCTAGAGTTTTATACAATGCAGATTGTTTCATAGCAGCTTTACAGCTATAAACAGGAAAGTTCTGACCAATGATGACCACTCTGCTGTAATGCAGCTCTATAAAAACAGTGTTGATTCAGTTCTGTTCAATAAAGGTTAATCAATTATTGAATAAGTTCAATTCATCTAAAAAGCAGAGAAAACGCATAACTCAATAATATTGCCGAATATCAAAGGGGCAGTTCACCCAAAAATGAAACTACTGTCATCATTTATTCACCCTCAAGTTGTTTCAAACCTGTATGGATCTCTTTCTTCTGTTGAACACAAAAGAAAATATTGAAGAATGTTTGTAACCAACAGTTCTGACTTACAATGTATTTCTTTCCATACTATGGAAGTCAATGGGGACCATCAACTGTTTGATAAAATATCTTCTTTTGTGTTCTACAGAAGAAAGAGATCCATATAGGTTTGAAACAACTTGAGGGTGAGTAAATGATGACAGTAGTTTCATTTTTGGGTGAACTGCCCTTTTTAGTGTCCCCAACAAAGCCAGAGGCGACAAAGGAACTCTATCAGAGAAGAAAACCATGGGCGAAACCTCAGACAGGGACTAGTTCTCCTCTGGCCAAACGTACAAACATAATGTGATTATAATTCCAGACTGCATCACAGGTCACTCTGTTGATGGATACCATTCAGAATATTTCAGTTTCTTCTGCTTGATGAACAGGGTTCATTACGCCTGAATCAGTACACAAAACCTGAGTTCACCAAGGGTTAAGTTTAGGGGTAGGTACAGGTCCAACATCTGGTCTGGCTGCTCACACTCCACACACTCCAAGGTCATACTGCTCATAAAACAAATCACTTTTTAGCCGAAACAACTTACGACAGAGTCACCCATGATGTTATTAGGTTTTACTCAAGGGCACAATGATAAAATGAGATCTCTGTGTGTGTGTGTAGCAATAATTATACTGTTTCTTGATTATTGTTTAGTGCGACTTGTGTTTCATAAGCATCTTTTACCTACTATCTTGTTGCTAGTATTAAGGAAACCCCATTTTTCAGGGGGGTTTGAGACACCAAGACACCAAAACAGTTTTCTTCACGATCTCTGACACAATGGGTGGTCTCTGATTTATGCCTCTATAATGAACTGAGGCGAATCCTGCACCTCTACTGTTGGGCTGAGCCATTTCTTACAACCTTTATAAACATCCCGAGTACGATAACTTTTTCTTTATGATGATCATCACTGTAAAGACATTTTGTAATGTACTTTTTCAGTGCAAGTAAGGGGGTGAGTAGACGTCTTTTGCTTAGTCTCCACAGAACAAGAAGACAATACAGTGTTATTTATGTCTTCACTAAAGCTTCATTAACATGGTCTTTTTCTTGTGCCCAGATTAGTTTCAGTAAATCAGACTTCATGGACTGCCCTGCTGTTCAACTGCAAGCTAATTTGCCTTTCCCTTTTCCCATGAAATCAAATTCATGTCTACACAAGTACATCTGACATTCTCATGGTTGCACTGAAATTCTTCATTCTAGCGAGAACAGTTCCATGTTTGCTGTTAGACAAACAGATTCATAGATAAATAATTGGAATCAAATACCCCCCTGTTTGACAGTAAATATTGCTGCATAGAATGTGCGAGTCCTGAGACAGATATCATGAACCAGCCAGAGAAACTCATAACGGCGTTTCACCCTCACCCACTTGCGCAACGTTCACACGCTGATCGCATAAGCCCTGGATCTGCAGGGCAACACAAACGGCTTTCATTCTCACCCTGAGAACATTTACGTGTCCTGACAACAAACAGTAATTATGAGGAAGTACCCATTTTTAATGCTTTGCCATTTAAACTCAGCATCTGAACCAAAATCCTGTCAGATAATAGGGGAGAAATCAAGCTTGACTTATAAAATGGATGCACCTCTTGATGGAAATAAAATCACCGTTTATTTCCATCAAGAGGTGCATTATACATTTTTGGTCCAGATTGTCACATGTTGGTCCTGTCTTGTATTGCACATGGGTGTTGTTATGTTGTGCCATGTGTTTCTGTGATTGTTTGATCCTTCCCACTCGTTACCTGATTAGTGTTTAGTTGTTCCACCTGTTCCCCTCTTGATTTGTTCCCTTTTTAAGTCTCCTCATGTTTGCAGTCTTGGTTGGTTTGTTGTCATTGTCAGATGTTTCTCTGTTCCTGGTTGGCGGTCCCTGTATTCTTGACCCAGTGTTTGTTTCATGTTCATTTATTCTGTTTTCCCCCCCCTCGTGGGTTTTTGTTTTTGTACCCATTTTTCATTGTAAATAAACCTTCCTTGTTTTGCACTTGAGTTCTCCTTTTCGTAAGCGCGAACGTGACAGAACGAACCGACCATTTTTGAACTCAGCAGCAAGAAGGATTTTTTTTTCTGAAGAAGCATCCCAGATAGCAAACTGACATTGAATCAACGTGGAAACGACGTCTCTCATGACATTGAAACAACGTTGATTTGCTCATCGAATTAACGTTGAACCAACGTCAGACGCGGCATTCTTCAAAGCTAAATGAAAACGAAAATTGGTTTGCTTTCATAACGTTGAAACAACGCGTTGATTTCAAGTTGATTTTCCGTTAGTTTTGAAAGAATGACGCATCTGACGTTGGTTCAACGTTAATTCGATGAGCAAAACAATGTCAGATCAACGTTGTTTCGATGTCATATTTCCACGTTGATTCAATGTCAGTCTGCTATCTGGGATGAATGACATGTATATGGACGACGATGATCTGGATTGCCCGGACTACGTCATCTCCACATTTGGAGCAACCCAGTTCCGTCCTATCGGCGGGGATGGAAGGACTCGGCCCGGTAAGGAATGAACATCTTCCAAGCGTTCGCTTTTATGGCTCAACAAAGGGAGGAGTCGGAGCGGTTGGCCAGAATTTCGGAGACCTGTGGAGGTCGCAGGAGAGGAGGAGCCAAGGGTAAGCTCCGGAACCACTCTCCATCCTGGCCTCCTGACGATCCTGTACCAGTGGAGGGCAGTTCAGATCCGGCTTCTCACCGTCATGGACGGAGGAGAAGAAATCCATCTGCCCAGCGTGAGAGAATTCACGTCCCGTCTTCCCAGCGAAGGACTGCTAACGTCCCGTCTGCCCAGCGAAGGACTGCTCGCATCCCATCTGCCCAGCGAGAGACCGCTCATGTCTCGTCTGTCCAGCGAGAGACCATTCACGTCCCGTCTACCCAGCGAAGGACTATTCGCGTCCCGTCTGTCCAGCGAGAGACCGCTCATGTCCCGTCTGCACAGCGAGAGACTATTCATGTCCCATCTACCCAGCGAAGGACTATCCGCGTCCCGTCGGTCCAGCGAGAGACTGCTCACGTCCCGTCTGTCCAGCGAGAGACTGCTCATGTCCCGTCTGCCCAGCGAAGGACTATCCACTTCACGTCTGGCAGGACTGTCCCTGAGCCGGTGCCCGTCCCTGAGCCGGTGCCTGTCCCTGAGCCGGTGCCCGTCCCTGAGCTGGTGCCCGTCCTTGAGCCGGTGCCCGTCCCTGAGCCTGAGTCTGCCGCTGAGCTGGAATCTATGTTTGTGTCTGTGTTTGTGTCTGTCCTTGTGACTGCTTCTGTTTTAGTGTCTGTTCTCGAGCCAGTGTCTGGTCCCGAGGGGTCTTCACCGCCCTGGCCACCCGAGGG